ACTCAGCCGTTGCTCCCCCCCCCAGGCTTTCAAGGCCTGTCGGGTCCCCGCGGCCTGAATGTTGCCGCCATCTTGGGCTTCGTTGCACCTCCCCCCTCTCTGAGGCGGGGACGTTGTGGACTGAAAGTGTATGCCTCCGCCCGTTTGCCTCAGAGAGGCCAAAGGGACATCGTCGGAGGGGCTCGGGATCCCGCCGGTAGGGTTCAGTAGGAGTGGAAATCCCGGCGTGAAGGAGGTTCGGGGGGGAGGGGCTGCGCAGGGGGGCAACGGACGGAGGAAGGATGGTAAAATAGTTCTCCCCGCCCGTGCATGCATGGGGAGGGAATTGGCGGAGGGATGCGTACAAGCTAGGTCAGCGACGGACCAGAACTCGTTGCGCACGTTTAAAGGGCCCCAACGCGCATGCGCAAAAGGGCAGAGGGCGGTGATGGAGCGAAAACAGGAAGAGGGAGGGGATGGGGTGGAGCCACCCTAGTCATGCCCCTTTCGTGATTATTTGGTCTCGCCCACTTCCTCCTAGCTTCTTCCCCCTCAGCCAAGCCACCACCCTCCGGCTCGCGTGGCGTCCGGGCTCAGCCGCTTCCAAACTTGACCGTGCGCCCAGCTCTGGGTTGGGGGGGGGCTAAGTGTAACACTTCACAGGGAAGGCAAGATGTAGGCAGGAGCGGCTGGGAAACAGCCTGGTTGAACATCCCACGGGGAAGGCTGCCATGCAGCCAGCTTAGGATGAGGGCAGCTTGGGTCCCGAAGTGAAGCTGGCAGTGCAATGACATCCTGGGATAAGAGGCCACCCAAATGCTAAGATTCCTGCCGAGGAAGACTGATGGCTTGTATCTGGCACACCCCCACCATACTGTGCCCATTGGGGTCCCCTCCCTGGCCCACAGTGCTCAACCTTCCTCTCACCCATCACCCCCCACCCCAGTACCCCTCCCAAGAAGACACAGCTGAGCCAAGGTCACACGCCAAAGACAATCGGTCCTTTATGAAGCATCAAATATACAGTTTCTTATATACAAAGGGGTGGGGGAGTTGGGCAGGGGGGGCAGTCAAGAGCTCAGGGGTCCCTGGGCTGGGGGGGAACATGCCCCCCCACAGCCCTGCTCCAGTGGGGGGGGGTATATTTATAATGTCTATTATATACATGGGGCCTGTACAGCCACATACCCAACGCGGAGTGGGGACGCATGCGGGAGGGGTGGGGAGGGGGCAAAAAGAAACAGGCAAGGGGAAGAGAGCATGGCTGAGGGGTCAGGATGCCTGGGTTCTGGCCCCACTGCTGCGGAGATGGGGGGGCATAAAAGTTAGACCAGGAAGGGAGCAGCCAGGATGCCTGGGTTCTGTGTTTGGGGCATGTTTTAAAGCCTTTCTTCCCACACTGTGCTCTCGGCTGTAATCTACCAGACCCATGTCCCAGAGCAGGAAGAGAACCCAGGTGTCCAGGCCCCAGCAACCCCTGCTCTAACTGACCAAGTCTCCCTCCCTTCCCAAAGTGGAAAGAGAACACAGGTGTCTGGGCTCCCAGCCCCCACCTGATCTGATTTGCTGAAAAAGAGGCTGACATTCCATCTCAGAGGTATGGGGGGGGGGGACTGACATTTTTGAGGGGGGGGAGACACCACTTTATTGGGGGGGGGGGGGGTAAAAAGGG